CCATTTGTGCTGTAAAACCATAGGAGGGTTAAATTAATATGTGAATTTGGGTATGGTGAACAAACTGTACCTTTTGACAACTGAAGAAGAGAAACAAGGAGACATAGATGGTACTCATTGTTATTCCTACCCCACTGACAATAAGCAGGACGCTGTCGGCCCGCAGCATTGCATAGCCCAGGCAAGCTGTGTTACTGAAAATGAAGGTGGGGAAATTTGAAGATTAGTTGAAAGAGTGGAGACAAAAAGGGGGAGTGGAAAAAGGGGGGAGTCTGGACATTTCATTATGCATTCTTGTATGGACTTTCTAAGGGACAATGCTAAATTTCGGAGATTTTTACACGCTTGGATGGAAGGGAAATGAACTATAATACCATAAACTTTATTGAAAAACAAAAAGACACATGTTTTGCTCTTTTGAAGGAATAATCCACATTCCCCCCCCCATCTGCCAATGGGTGGAGAGTGATGGCTAAACACCCCAAGAGAAGTAAAAAAATAAAGGAGATGACAACAAATCCCTAACTACAGATTGGTTAGGTTTGAATCACTAGTTTGTCTCTGCCTGCAGCTCTATAATATCCACATGGTGCTCCTTCAAAATCCTCGCATTTAGATCTCTCAGGTGAGCCCCACCTTTGAGCCATGCCCCTCCTTGAAGAGGGTACAAAGTTGGACAAAACAAATTTGAGAACTTTAGATTGTAAATGTACAAGAATATTTTTACAACATTTTTCTTTTTTTTAGATAGCACTCTAGAAACAGTTTAGATTACCGATATCTCACCTGACAAAGCCGGCCAAAAATGGCAGAAAAGGCACAGAGTGAGTGGTTCCCTTGCGGATGATATCAACAAAGATGGGTCTGTTGAACAAAGGATTACAACATAAAAGGTAGATGATACAACAGAATTGAAGTGCAAAACTAAACTGAACTCTTGAATATCCCTCATGGCCAACATCAACTTAGATCTGCTGATCTGAAAAGAAAAAAAATCTGTTCTGTGCTAGAACAAGGGATGTTGAGTCTGTTTTACAACTTCCCTTTGGCAGGCCAAACACTGCATGCCATTTACTGTCTTTGCATGTGTACCACAACTGTGCCTGTACTTGAAAAACTTGCCACCAGCCGGTCTCATCTTAACCAATTAGGGGGTACTTTCTAGTCGGTAAGCACAGACAAGGGAAACAAAATGACAAAATTTAGGAGGTAGTATTCACACTGAGTTGCCTTCTCTGCTCCTACAAATATGCAAAATACACTGACACACGGGTGCCTTTTAGTTCATTTATCATTGAAATAAGGCATTTAAGTCCCAAGGATTAACCTGTTCAAAAGATCTGGCAAATCATGTTAATTTTAGAAAATTTTCTCAAATTTTGAAAACTCAATTTAAAAACTTTCAATTGATTCATACTCAGCTATTGTCTTTGGTAGTTACGTTGTTATAATGTCCTTTCTTCTCAGTCATTTTATATGTTGCTATGCATACTTTGTTGGGTTACTTTTGTTCAGGGGACCCACAGTTGGCAAGCTGTATTTTTGTAGGTCTCCTATCTCTTGATATTTTTACTGTTCAGCGCAATCTTGACTCTTGCACAAGTTTATTGTTCTGCCCCCGAATTGATTACCCTATGAATGGATTTATTTGAAAATGCAAATCAACTCTGGAGGACTACAATAAATCTGCAACAGTTTCAAGATTGATTTCAATATTAGTAGGGTAAAAAGTGGGGTATTCGACCATGTAAGAAAAGCAAGAAATTCAACCAGCTGTGTAGTTTTTTAATGCAGTTGGTCGAATTTTCCTCCTGGTCAAAATTCCCACACTCACCCTACTGACAATTTTTTTAACTGTGTAACTTACACAAACTATCACAGTCAACGAATAACAATTAATAGTACAGCATAGGCCTAGGTAGATCTATCTCTTTATGCTGCCATGGCATGACTGAGATATTATATTAACAGTTTAAAAAGAAAATTAACTAAACAAGTCCAACATGAGATGCAAGACTATTATTAAAGTAGCTAGGACATGTGCTAGCTAGTCCGAGCATGTGTTTTATTCCTCCATGGTCCGAGTAACTTGGAAGTCCACATATTAAAAAGGCGATTCCACAACCCTCGACGTTACCACACAGCTCGAGCTCCCCACGGTGAAGGTAAGGGGATCGAGAGACGAGAAACGTCGAGTCATTATCCTACAAATTATCTTTCCCCGGCTATCACTTACATTCCTCCTCCATTGCTTGCAATCGTAACAACGATGCAAAGCCGCGAGAGTAAAAGCACCCAATCCATTTGTGCTTCTGAGTAGCGAAAATGAGGTGAAACAGCAGTATAACACTCGTCACTGCGGTACGGTGTGCCTTCGCACGTCCTGACTAGTACTACTAAGGCCGCGTACGCGCGCGTACATGTACTCGTACATGTACTGTATGTACATGTAAATGTACGTGGAGAGATGAATCGCCTCTTTCATTATTATATTGGAGGGTTGGCTGTCTGAGCGCCCTCTGTAGTTTGACTTACCTTTATCAGAACAAGTGGCAAATCTGGGGTTTCTTTCTAATTCTCTGAACTAAAAATCAAAGGGACTGAAAGTCACTACTACGGATTATATCCCTTCATTTACAAGGCGAAGTAATTATCTACGCCCGGTGCTGGGATAAATGTGTTGAAAAGGGTTATTTTCCTTTCAAAACAGGAGCAGAGAAAAAAAATCCTGAACAGTAGTAGGCCCTACGTCACTGTTCAGGAAGTAAGTCTAGTCTATATCTGCCTATGATCTGCTCTTCATTATGATTTTTAGTGATTGAGCCATGGATCGTCAGGGAGATATGGGAGACCTTAAGACCAAGACTAAAGCAGAGCTGGTAGATCTGCTGAACAGACAGGAGAAACTGCTGGCCAATAAGTGAGTACAGTCACCCAAATCAAACTTGCAGCTATCACAGGTTCCTTAATTAACACATTTATCTCTACAGGGTAGAAAATCACAATCAATTAAGCACGGATGTTTAACACTCCTCTTCGGATCATCAAGCCACTTTAATCCACATTAGTGTTTGCTGTTGTAGTACAGCAAACTTTTGATTGTTTTCACAAAAGTCCTGTTTGAGTTTTGATATCATATTTGATCAATCAGGAAAATGCTGAGCATGCTACCAGATAAAGGTGAAAAGGTCACACTCCAAGCAGAAAGGCTCAGAGAGCTTATCGCACAACACGAGACCATGGTGGACGTTGCTGCAGATCTGCTTGAGAAAATGGACATAGGTGCTCCACAGGGTGTACGTCAAGCCCCAGAGAATGTATTCCTGAAGGTGGACTGCCGACCCGTGGTGAAGAAGACACCATTTAAACCTTTCAGGACATTGCACATGGACAGGATACCTGAGGGATTGGAGCGTCCACCTGCCCCACCTTCCAGGGGCAGCACGCCCATGGCCGGGATTGAGGATCGTCCCCCAGAGGTGTCTGCCGTGGCTATTCCACCACTCAAACATCCCGGCACTCAAGCGATAGAAGTGAAAGCGGCTGCTGAACTGCTGGAGAAACAGAGAGCAAAAGTACAGGTGTGTGTGCCATCGGAGGTCCAGACTTTTCATTGGGCTTGTAATCGACTCCAAAATAAGTTGTGCAGTGTGTTACCAGTCTATTCACCTCAAGTTAAATGGTGTCCTCACCGACAAAGAAAATAAAGCTTGGGGGATGTTTTCCAACTGAACTCGTACACGCTTCTAGCCAAGTAATTCAGATATGGCCAAATTAATGCACTCGTCATCCGAAGTCTACTTGACTGATATGAGTTAGTCATGCGGCTCCTCCACAGTCACTGCAGAGAGGCTGTCAGGTTCTGAGCACAGTTGATTGAACCAGTATGGTATTTCAACAGGGCATGCTCAAAATGAAGCATTGGTATAGATCGGCCTTATCATGGTGTCATGTGGACTCAGTTACACATTGAACATGTGTTTTGTTCTCAAATATAGGTATGATATCTTTAAATAGCAAACTGGCTCATGATATGGATATGGGAGACACACACAAGCGTAGCAACTAGTGTAATCCAGTAAGTTATAATCCAGACAGGTCACAAGTCTACTGATGAGTCCATTGGTTGTTCTAATTTTGTTGTACCCGTGGTGGTGGTGGTTGTCATCAGGCTTTGCAAGCTGAGCAGGCTGCAGAGAGATTGGCTGAGAGGCAATACATACAGATGGGAAGATACCAGCCAGACTCTCCAGGCAGGTATGCTCACATTGTAAAGATAAATAAAAAGAAAGATAGGGGGCCCGATTGATGATTACATTATGAAAGACTCCAGAGGTGAGAAGACTTAGATCCTCACTGATGCATCGATGAGAGGAGTGAAGGTTGGGGGTACAAGCAATCAGTAAATTTGGACACAAGGGTGGACAGACAAAGTGAGAGGCAGGGGACGCTGTCATTTTGGTATGTCAAGCGTCCCCTGTCTCTGAGTAAGACACTCTTTCTCAGTCTTTTAGGCAGTACAGAGACCTTGTTCAAGATTCCGTCCTTCATGTAGGTTTGCATGTTCCAACGTATTTTTGATCGCAATGCAGTGGGTTAAATTATGGATTTTGATCTTGATTTCATTTTCCTTCAGGTATAGGGAACATGGCGCTGATGACAGTGATGACGACAACATGGATGACGACGAAGATTACAGTGATGATGGGAAATGTAAGGAGGAAAGCTACCTATTCCCATTGGACAATGAAATTGGTGTAGCTCCAGAAATATTACGTCCACTCAGATTCGTTCTCCCAGAATCCATTGACCACTTGCGGCCGGGGAGCCCGGTTTCGGACACGAATTCCTTATATGTAGAGCCAGGGTCTCCGAAATCGGACACAGGGAAGTGGGCCCTGTAACAAAAGACCGTACTCATAACAACAGACCAGGCTGCTGGGAATTACCAACATTTTTTCACTGTCTAAAGTGGAGATAATCCACCCTTGTTTTAAAACAGTATACCATGGTTTATGGGATTCAGTGCGAGCGGATTACTACTGGGGACAAAAGCACTGCATCACTGCAGTGATGAGCCACACAGTACCGCTGCACACTAATCTGGCCCCTATTGAAAAGACATCAGCAGTGCACTGTGCCCGTTTCGGGAACAAAAGAAAATTACACAACACGGCACAGTCTGGGCTCTTTTTACAAAGCGGCAGGCCTGGCTGAAATACTCCAACGTCAGTAGATGTTGTCTGTCAGATTAGAGTAAGAGACCAGACAGTCCTTCATGTGGTTGTGTCGAGTAAATGAAGATATGAATTTTTAAGGAATTTTGAAAACTGAAAAAAATGGAAAAACCAAGCAGAATCAACATTCATATATGCCCCCGGTGCGATGTGGTTAACTAGTGGGAAAAAAGCAAAATATTTTAGACTCAGAAATGACCATGACCCTAAATAAGGCAGCCATATTAGAAAGTTTCAGATTTTATTGTAAAAAAGAAAAGTACTTTAAAATGGCACTTGTATTTTACAATAGTACATGTACAGATAAGAGGATGGAATTACGGTATGTTCAAATGCCTTGGCCAAAATATCCAATTTTCTGATCGTGCTGGGTGTAAACTTGGGAACGGAGCACTTAAGACAGTGTCCTGACAAAAGCGCCTCATCTTTTGATTTTGATTTGAGGAGGTACATGTATCTTCAAAGGCAGTAGAGTATCCAGCTTTTGGTGTGTGTTTGGGGGGGGAGGTAAATTCTAAAGTGAATGCGGCTTTAGGCTCATTCAACAAGATGTTGGGCGAGAAACACCCCCCTACTGGATATGCCACTGTTCAAAAGCTTTGATAATCAGGTTTCCTTGATAGAATTAAAAACATAAGCATAGATAAATGGTGGCAGGAAATGTTTCTGTAAATCTGGTAGTTACAGGCTATTTCAAAATGCCTGAGGGAGTCAACTTTGTGGTAATATATTTTGTCAAGCTGTTGCTTTTTAAAGACTTGCTTCTCCCACTATGGTCAGGTTATGCTGCATCAGTATCAACGTCATCTGTGGATAAAATGCAATCAGTAGTGAAAGAAGACTTGCCCAAACCCCATGGGGTTCTTGTCAGGCACACGGCTAAATGCAGCAAAATCCAACATGGCAGACATGAGAACCATGCCGAAGCAACAAAATACAACATTGAATTTTGTGGCACTGTGCAGTGCCAGCCTGATTAAACACCAGCCTAGCAAGCACTACGAAGTTACACAGTGTACTCTGCCACTTTAAGGTCGCCTGCTATAAATATAACAGCATACAACATATTGGACCACTGCAGTATCGTGTTGCAATTGTGGCTCAAATGAAGACCTGATTGTCATTTTTGTTCAATGGTTTTCGATTGTTACAATCTTCACAAATTTACAGGATTTGGATGGATTTCCAAGGTGCTCTCAAGGTGCGTCTACCCACTGGTGCAACTCACAACATGCAATGACAAATGTTCTAGTTTGATTCAGTTTTGATTTCAGTGGTTTTTTAACCTCCCACATGTACATGTTCCCAGTGCAAAACAATGTATATCACTATTGCTGACTCGGTGGAAGTTGTTCATCATGTAATAAAAAAGAAAATCATGGTGATAATAACAGAATTCTTTGGTTGACCGTAGAGTACCTGACATGGAAATGTTTAGTATTGGCTGGTAATGAAGGAAAAACAATATAAACATTTACAGAATGCTCACTTTGTGTTCAAATGGTGAACATGATCTCACATGCAGTTGTCGATGACTGCACTATTGCCCTTAATGGAAGCTTCCAAATTTGATTTGCAACCTTAGCGGAAGGGAAGTTCACTTATACTGGTTCTTTGGGAGAAAGACCAGCGTTGGTTTTCCACTGAGATTGACCACAGTCATTGGGCACTTTAAAAATGAAATCTGTGTCTAACCAGTCATCTTCCTGAGGTACATACAGTTTACCCACACTCAAAACGGTCCAAAGAAACAACCGGCATCAATTCTGGCAAAAAGATGATGGCTGACCGCTCAACACCATGTACAACAGTGACACACAATTATACCTATACATGGTATACATATTCATGTTCGGCAATGACCATTAAGATTTCCTCACATGAAATATCATCACCCATTGTATGTACAGGTTGTATATAAAGTACTGTTACCTATTCCAATGAAATAAAACTTCCATTAAAAAAAAGGTCATTGTATTAAAACTCTAATACTGAAGTCTTTCAATAAATACATATATCATTTTAAATTCTACACAATACTAAACCCCTTGAAATGTAATGACTATAATCATGAAAGAAAATGGAACAAGCTTTACAATAAACTTCAAAAACAGATTTGAAGTAGTTCTGAAATAGTCGACAATTTAAAAGATATTTTGTGACATACTTTCCCTGTTACGTCTCGGCCATGGACTGTTTCAATAAATGCTGGAAGTCTCGAGGCACCATCTGCTGAGAGTCTATCACAAAATGTCCTCAGACACCGACTCCTGCTGCACAAGTCTGCTGGGCATCAGAGGCTGCGTCTCCTCACTTCGGCTGGACGACGAATTGGAGGTTCTGGTGCGTGAACCCCGGTCGATGTCGCTGCCCGCGTCAGAGCCCCGCGATGTTCGTTTCCTCTCAAGGAGTTCCACCGACTCCTCCGACCTCCCGACGGCTTTGGAGTGGTTCCTTTTGGTCACGTGACCCAACGCGATGCGGCTCATAGGAATGTTCTCCGTGTTCCACTCCATCTGGCTAGTACTGGCTCCTGGTTGGTCCGCTTTGACATCACCTTTGCTGATTGGTTTCGTCGGACTCCTTGTCTTCTGACTACCAGTGGACCTACTGATGTGGGTACGCTGGCTGCTGGAAGTGTGCTGTTTATGCTGGGAACTTGACTGACTTGATTTCTTACTCTTCATACCTTTGTGCCGGATGCTGAAAAAAGTTTAATTGACCATGAAGTTTATTAACTGGAACAAATGGTATGAAACGTGAACACATTCCATTTTCTAAAGTTGGAAAATATACCTAGAAACAACAAATTTTGAGACTTGGTTTATCAGCTCAAAATAAGTCTTGGCTCCAAAGAAAATCCAATGCCAAAACTCAATTTCACGTCCTCTTTCTTGAACAACAGAAGCAAACACACACACACAGCATCATTGAAACTGCAGGGTTTGTGCTTCAGCACAAGATACCATGGTGTATGACATGCCATATGCACATGCAGCGTCTTTCCCATGCAGTGGCATGGAGCATATCTGATACATCATTAAAAGAACAAATATTTGTGTCACTGTAATAAAATGAAGCCCCTGTAGCCGGTTTCAGGCAACTTTACACACCTGTGTAACGTCAACTATTCCCCCCTACATTTTATTACATATATTGCACAATAAATTAAGAGCCACATCATGAAACTTATGCAGTTTGTAAGTCCGCGACTTGCATTACAAATTATGGCATAACTTACGCAATCAGTTTAGGTGCTGTAAGTTGTGCCAAACGATGTGACAATGAATGATTTGACCAACTAATAGCATTTGATTAAGGCTCATCATTGCTGAACTTAACAAGGCTTAAATGTACAACTTTATTTTACAAGTTTAATGAAAAACTTGTTTGGATTTGAGAGATCTCCAAATTTTCTGCCCGGTTTTCTGACGAGGACAAAGAATTTTTCTAAATGGTGGGCAGAGGTAATTTAACGACTGGTGATAATGTTTGTAATATTGTAGATGAACAGCTAGCATAAAAGCTGTTATCGTCCTCGTCCAATAAGTTTAATATAATGAAAACGTTGTGCAGCAAAGCAAGTTTTCAAGAAATCGAATGCGAGTATAATGTGCAGCTACAGCACAAATTTGTGGTGCAAAGCTTTAATACTCATGGTTCAAAGGTACGCCACGTTTCGTTAAATTTGCCTGCCGGTTATATACAATTACATTCTTTAGAACTCACTGCACGTTTATACCAAAGATAAATGACTATACAGAAAATGAGATGCTTCTGTGAGCTCTGTTTTTGGCTACAAGCCCAATGGGCTCATAAGTACACATTTCTTCGTGAAACTCTAATTCAAAGTATAGCCTTAACAGTCCCAAATCCTCTGATTTCAATCTAATTTTACAAACACCCAAGGGGTTAGGGTTAAATTACCCCAAGGCTTTTGGAAAGTGTACAAATGCACTTTAATGTAAACAAAAGACTTGTGCCACTGTAGGAGCGATTCAATAAGTCCGACTGCAGAGTCAATCATACTGACGTTTTAACTTGTGGTGAAAGGGGGTTTGAAAAATAACAGTTGGAAATATGAAAAAAATAAAAGAGACACATGTATGTACAAAAACTGGGAGAGTTTCTAGCAAAGTGTAAGATAGTTTGAATAGGGTTAGACTTGCAGAAGAAAAAGCCACCATGACACAAAACAGCAAGGATAGTACATGGAACAGTGACAATGTAAACAAAAAAACCTGAGGAGTGAGGAAGGCCTTTTTTTTATCCTATACAAGGAAATTCTTCACACTCACCATGATAACAGCTCATGCAGGAGTGTCATAAAGTTGTTATATTCTGTCTCACCGAAAGGCTGTGGGAAAAAGGACAGAGGGAAGAAATAGAGTTATATTTTGAAAGGTTTGCTCAAGAGGAAAAGGAACCTAGACTACAATGAAACTGGTCTATATCCAAGTATTGACTTAATTTTTATGTGAGGATGTGAGCTGAATGAGGCAAGTTCAAAGTTCCTCTGAACAAAATGAGTTGTATACGTATCATCATTTCTTAAATGAGTTACTTGTGTCAAAGGTTCATGAGTGGACATTATATCCTATCTTTCATCGAGATATCTGTTAACTATAATAAATTTTTTCCATTTGTTTTATTCAATCTTTATAAACTCACCCTAAAAACCATACAGGGAGGTACTGTTACATACTGCCAGTAGAAAAGGCACAAAAATTTAACTTCTGGGTTAAAAAGAGAGTCACACACTCTAACCTACATGTCCCTCCCCTATCCCACAAATATGACAAAGACTGAAATTGATCTTTCTCATGCAAGATAAAAAGTAACGGTGGATTGGTTCAACCTTCTGCACACTTTCAAAACCCTTTCATATCGGACACTTATTTGCTACCTTAAGCCCATACTGCGCACTTTCATAAGCTGCTGCAAAGGCTCCACACAGGTTGACGGAAGCTCCTTTAAGAGGTGCATGCGGAGGGTCTCGTAGACTCAAAATGTACTCCTTCAAGTTCCCACATGGAGGCCGCAATCTCCGAGACTCAATTTTTTTCAGCTGCTCATCTGCGGAAAAATTTTACAGAAGACCTTGATATGCCACTGAACAGAAACTATGAAATTCAAAAACACTGAAAATGAAATTTAATTTAATAAGAATTTTACAAATTTAACTAACAATTCTTACCTAATTTTGACAACGCATCAACAGCTTTCATTCTGTAGATATAGGTGCACTTCTCTGTTAAAATAGACCATGAAGAACAACCATGATAAAGTTGTTATGCACCGACCAAAGCATCTGTCCCGACTGTAGCTGGGATGATCCTTATAATAGTGCTACAGTTGGGCTTGCCTAACTATAGGCAATGTCATTTCATTTCTGTTGGTAACTTGCACTTACAGAATCCATTTCTGTTTGTATTAGGGAAGAAATGCCATATTGGTATACATTAGTTTGGATGAATTCTGTTAGTTTGAGCCGCAAAAACCCAGAGAAGGTGGAGAAATTTTCTGTACAAAGTTTTCAACTTTTCCAACTATAGTTGGGCCAGCCCAAATACAATGCTACAGTTGGGACCATCCCGACCATAGTCGAGGGATAATCACATTTATATAAAAGCAACCATTCAAACATTTCACCATCTTGTTTCTCTTTTCTTTCCCCTTTTTCTTTGGTTTTACCTCCAGTGGTATTTTCTCCACTGAGAAATTTCAATCTGTAGTCGTCATCTCCTAGCAGTCGTGGCTCATACTTCATTCTCGAGACGTGCGTCAGTTTCTGCTCAATTTCCACCTGTAGGCTTCTCGGGGCACTGTGTCCAATGGGAACATGGGGACTTCGGTGGGAGCTCAGAGAAAACCGCATGATTTGTCGCTTGATGAATATAATGACAACAAGGAGCAGCTGGAAAGACCAAGATAAGTGTAAATAAGAACCCCTGCAAAAACAAGCAAACTAAATTGTCTGTGGCATCAGAATAGAGGCCTGAAAATATTTGATTACAAGTACATGTACAGGGCATATCAAAATAAAGGAAACCCAAATACAACCATAATTTATAGGAAAACTGCAGATTTCTTAATTAAGCATTTTATGTCTCCAGAAAGGCCTGAATGTCTTCTTTCCAATGACACTTTGCCCATGTGCTCAGTGTCACAGTTGAACAAGTAACAATGCATTGTTGACCAGCAGGTGAAATTTGCCCCATGACAAGTTGGCATTCAAAAGCACCTATGTGTGTTGGCCTAAGCACATTCAAATGTGCATCATCTACTGTGCAGAGTATAAGAACTTGCAAACAGGAGTCTGCGATGGCACATTAAAGGGAGGGGAAAACACCTCATGAAACATTTTTCTGAAAATCGCATCTTTATAATATAGGTGGGGGGGGGTTTGACTGGATAAGAAAGGGCTTGTTTCATTAAAATAAAAGGGATGGAAACTCACAGGAACTATGGATATCACTATTAGTTATTTACCTTTCAGAGTATTTATGCAAACATTGGTGGTTACAGTCCATGAACTTTGACCTTTTGAATGAAGTGGTCATTGTGCAGGAAAATTTGTCCAGCTGTGGCAGTTTTGGACCGGGGTAGAGGGGAAATTTTACCGCCGCTTACAACAGCGTCAAAGTTTACATATAACGGCCATACATTCCCTCTGTACAGTTTGGATTTCTTCCAAATTCTAGACGAGATCAATACCGCTGGGTGGGGTATTCCATTTCCAAAAAGGGTGTGGTCACTTTTTTTAAGACTTGAGTGAGACAGAATGAGAACTGGGGAGGCTGCCTTTAAGAAGCCAAATTCTGGCTGGGTTTATTTCATGGCCTTCAGGGTATTATTTGAGAATTTCCAGTTGGTCAAATAAAGTATAAGGCGAGACAAGGCTTCAAAGAATGTGAACAAATTATTAACACATTCACAATCTTTGTCAAACTTCGACAATAGGAAATATGCAAAATTAAAGAAAACGGAGGTACAATCTTGCTTGCAATAAATTTCAGGACTACAGATGTCTCCGAGGTGTTCAGTGTCAGTGCCGGCATCACCATCAGCCTTGATTGACATTTTTAACAGCTTTTTCAACTTGCTATTTTCATATAATCGTAAAATAGTTGGAATAAAAAATACAATCAAAAGAGCCTTCACATTATAACAACCTCTCACAGTCATTAAGAATAAACTGAACCAAAATTTTAACTGCAGTTGAAATCATGCAACGCGCCACACTGCATGTACATGTGTAGGCATGCTAGGTAAGTACCCGCAATGCAGTTGTCAAAAACACACTCCACAGCACCCTCTGCTAGGCAGTATTCGACCACCCCTTCAGTAGTCCATCCTATCTAGCATACACTGTACCAACCAATCATAGTTCCAGCTGATTGCTGACGACATAAATGATTGACATTTCTTCTTTGTTCCAGGTCATGAATATTTAACGTCACACAAATTACTCACATTTACGTGACCCTGTAAGCATGACCTCTGCGACGCGGACACAGATAGTCACCCCCATATTTACCATTATTTACAAAAATCACCCAGACTTTTTCTAACTTTTCACGATTCAAAAATTAAGGGTAGGAACTAATGATTACATTTGACACTATTACAACAACATTTAAGTACGTATTTTATCGACTTGTTAGTAGTAAATGATTGAATTCTCCCGCCGGTTGAATATACCCACATTAACCTTTACATATAGCATGTATAGTTAATCAAGTGACATGGCACAAAGTTCATAAAATCAACTTAAATAACTAAGTATGAATGGCAAATATGACATGTGGATATTTTTGACTTACATGTAGGCTTGTTGGAAAAAACCCCTTTTAAGAAGACATGCTCTCTCTCTCGGGGGACTGGTTTTGTCCTCAAATAAGCCTAAGGGACTTCTCTGCCCCTTTTTCCTTCCCACAATGCCTTTCTTATTGTGCAAAATCACCCATGCAGTATTTGCGATAAGGCTTATAGGGCATGCAGGGACAGTCCTCGAGTTGTGATGTGTGCCTACCCCCATCATTGAGGGGTCCCACGTCCGTCCCACAGTTCTGGGGGTATGTGGGAGCGGAGCGGACGTCAGACCTAAGTTACGTTCTGGGGGTAATGTGCGCTGCAGTGCTGGTTACTTACCGCGCTTCCAGTTCCTGCAATAAGGATTAATGTAGTATTGACCATAGAAGCAACATTTCCCATGGTTCCCGATGTAACACTTGAAGAGAATTCCGAAAAGGCGAGGTGACACACAACACATAAGACCACAGTTTCACAAAGAAGTACAGCTGAGCACAGATGTTGGTTCGATATGTTTAGAGGAAATGCATGGAAGCAGCCATGATAGGCTCTATCTAGTAATATTAATTTATTTTTTTCTTCTAATAATGCAAAGATTTTAAGAATAGACTCTTAAGAACAAATCGATTTCACGAAATTGATAATATTATTTTATCTAATCGATCCGATCTAGGCTGTATTTGAATATATTTACATTATAAAAAAATAATGATTAACTAGAGAAACAGTCAGAGACCTTTAACATGTACATTTTGTACGTACTGTACACGTACATACATCAGTGTTTTCGTTTTTCACCCAGTGTTGCAACTTGACAGTTTTGTTTCTACTCTAGGGAAGAATAACTATGGCGACGGGGAACGCAGAGGAAAGAAACAATGCAAATATCTTACTGACTGGTTTGTTCTTTTTGATCATACCCTTTGCTCTAGTTTTGGGGCCGATTTACACAGCGCGCGGTAAAGGTTAACTCTGTCTGAGCGATCGATGGTTATTGAACACCAGCATAACCAACTAGAACTAAGCACAGTCGTGTGGGTTAGATCCGGGCTGACTGCTTACACTGGTTACAGTTACACTGACCTTGCGTTATCACCCTGATTATTGCATTGACACATTTTACTAATTTACCACATTAAGACTTGAGATCAAACATGTCAAAGAATCGTTTCTGTTAATTTTTTCCCTATCCCCAAATCTGGTCACCACGGTCACAGGCATTACCGGGGGGGGGGGTGACCTACCCGCATTATAGTCAGTTTTATCAGCAGAATCGTGGTGCTGTCAGCAAGAATGGAGAAGAGAGGGCAAAGGAAGGGGGACAGGTCACACAAGTGTCAGTTCAGGGAATTAATCGACAACCATACACTCATGAAACTTGCTGATGGTCCATCAGCAAATCTCATGACGGCACCATACCTCCTTTTAAAATGGTGTGGTGACGCCCATGTGTACTTGTTTTTTTTTTTCCCCACAATAACAGGGACTCCCGGAACTGGTAAAACCACCCTTGGTCAGGAGCTAGCCGATCGGTTGTCCATGACCTACGTCAATGTTGGAGATGTAGCCAAGGAGAAAGAACTGTACGAAGGATGGGATGATGAGTACGAGTGCCCATTCTTGGATGAAGAGAGGGTAAGAAGCAGTCACGTGTGAATAACTTGTACCCCTCCATGGGCTGTGCCCGGTTTACTTTGCTGTGGCTAGATATAGCATACATGTATTAATGGGAATCAGATAAAGCCGCTTGCTAATGACTTCTGTTGATTCAATTCAATTCAATTTAATTCAGTTTGTTTCAGTACTTTATTAATTGATAAAGGCAATTACGTGCAGTGGCAGTTCATGCTCTAGGAATAGTTACTAACATTCAACAAAATTCAAAACATTAATTTCATACAAATGCAGTTAGTTATAAGAGAGAATAAGCATTGAAATTGATACAACTTTTCACCCAGAGATATTTGTTGTACTTAAAATCAGTGAATAAGTGAACAAAATATAAATAGAAATGATACAAATGTAAAAATAAAGATATCATTTTATGCACAATAAAAAGATTGAGGATCGTGAAAACATACAACTTGACTATTACACGTACAGTTAAACATTATTTAAAAATATGATTGCCATAGGAATGAAGGAAAACTTTGTCCTATTAGTTTTCCAACGACATCTGAGACAGCGTCCTGATAGTAGAAACTGAAACGTGGTTTTTAGCACACGGTTATTAGTATACTTGCAAGAATGGAGTTTGCCTTCCTTAGGACCTGTTGCTCACAGAACTGACTTTGATCTGTCTGGGGCTGTCTAATAATTTTAGACCCCAGTTTAACCCTTTTGACCATGACTGCTGGGCTGTGGTATGCCCAGTATGCAAAGCTCTATCCAGCAGCAGGCCCCATTGAACCAGCAGCTGCATGATGAATAGACTGTATGTGTGGTACGCACTAGTCCTCACACAAAGCTGCCGCTGTGGACAGCTCCCGCTGTGAAGGGGTTAACAACCCTTTGCAAATTATTCTTGTTCTTAACACTTGGATTAAAATACCAGCAAATAAGTGAAAAGGGCAGCACACAATCAATGACTGATAAAAAAAGACTCGGGATGGTTTTGTCAACAGCAACACCTTCAACTTACATAAAAAATATAAATGCTGTTGGCACTCTTTGACAATTGCAGGTGTTTATGTCCCATCTGAGCTTGTCATCAAATACAGTTCCAGGATATTTACATTCAGACACAATTTCAACTTCCTGGTCATGAATGACAGTTTTCAAGGCATCTCTACCCTTTCTCCCACAATTGACAAGATGTTGCTTAGATTTGGTTTCATTCAATTCCAGATACGATTCATCACACCAATCAACAAAGTCTTGATGAGCATCATGATGATTATTATCAGATCTGGAAAGGAGTGAAATCAGAGTGCTTTAATTGGCAAATTTGACAAAAAAAATCTTTTGTCAAGCCTACATGAACTCCTGCAGTTGTCAGTATATAAAATGTAAAGTAGTAGCGATAAAACACACCCTTGTGGGGAGCCATAGTCACTGTGACACTAGATACAGTACCTGACCATTAACCTTGTGTGTTCTTGTGTGTTGATGTGTGATGTGTGTGATATACCCAACCCTAGCAGAGCAATTTGGACTCTGGCTCATATTTTAGTACCGACACACTTGCAGTATTCCCTATACATGATTTTGGGGGAAACTCTTGTAAAGATGACTGAGCAAAGCCCAACAGTAGTGTATTATTCCAAGGGGTTGGGAAATGGCACGAAAATGCCAGATTATACCTGGACTGGAGTTTGCTGTTTCAGGTTTGCCTTAAAATTCAGTGAAATACTGATGGATAATTCTGTGGAATAAAACACACAATTAGAAAAAGATTTCCAAGATGTTTGACATGTTACATAAACTTGCATGGTTTATGAACAATAGGTAGTAAAGTTTGTCGACGGGTCAGTCACTCGAAAAAAAGCAATACATTTGTAGCTAAGGAATCAGATCTCCAGCACAGTTTGTTCCTTGTGGTTATCCTGTGAACTTTGTTCTTCTTGTGTTAACTTGAGATGACAAGGTAGTTTTTCAATTTATTCAACAGAGGGTTTGCATGGCTGCCATCTTGCAGGCCAGTGCTTTTGTTCCACAGGATACGCACAAAGGAGGTTTGCCTGTGGAACAAACAAACTGCCCTGCAAGATGCCTACTGTGCAAAGCCTCTGTACATGTATATAAAGGCTTTACATCTGTTGACAGCATACTGATCCCGTAGTGAAGACAAACTCTTCCGTGGGCATTTCGTGGGCAGATTTTGAGGGATGTAGGAAGGTTAGAGTTGGTTAATAGGCTCCAAAGTTTTGCCGTGAATTCTCCACATGCAGTAGCGTCTCTGAAGTTGTTGAGTGAAGTCTGCCATTGTCATGTCACAATGTTGCAGCGTGTGCAGTGTGACAAACTTACTTTGTTTTGCCGCTAATTTTTGACTGTACATTCCATTCATCACTGGCCTCAAATTCTTTAGTTTAGACTCTGTAGTAACAATAAGAGAGAGAGTGAGATGGAGGAAAAGAAGATTGTCATCATTTTTATGTGTCACGTTGCATTGGCTGTAGTAAGACTATGATTTCTGGTGCTGTACAATGTAGGTTATTGATGAGTTGGACGACGTGTTGAGGCAAGGCAACTGCATTGTGGACTACCACAGTTGTGAATTCTTTCCTGAGCGCTGGTTTGACTTTGTCTTTGTGCTGCGGACGGACAACACAAACCTGTACAACAGACTGGAACAGAGGTAAGAACAGCCTCAGGCATATTTATCTAGGAAATGTTGGAAATTTTAGTTCACATACATATGTAGTATAATGTCTCTTAACTTTGTATTACCACCTCAGGTGAAACTGTTAGCGTCGGTGTCAGCAAACAATGAATTATGCTGAATGTCACATTAAAGATACTTGTGTTTTATCTGTGGAAAAGCCGTTATTTTTAGTATTAATTTTTCCCACTTTTAGAGGTGAAAAATTACCACTTTATTTCACTGTTTTCCATTTCTACTACAAATAGAGTGAGAGGATAATATAAAAACTGGCAATGTGTTTGTATGTTACCTCTCAGATTGAAGCAAAGAGTGGTAGTCATAGTGGTAAATACTTTAAATGGAGAACAAAATCAAAGTTTGATATCAATTTGGCTTTGACACACTGGTAGTGTAAAAATCAAATTTTAAGATCATTTGATTCAACTGAATTGGAAGCATTAAAGTTGGAATAGGAACTGCTTTCACTCACCTTGCACACAGCTTGGTTTAAGAAATGTTTCTCCCACCTCTCCTTTCTTTTCTGCTCCATCAACATGTCCCTCTTTCGTGATTTAAAAGTTCAAATAAGGTTGAGTTTCTGACATTATCGAAGTAAACTTACAACAACTTTTTCAGAAATTTTTCTCCAAGCCAAAATAAGTAGAATGTTTCGTTTTTATGATGTCTCTTGTTAGATTTCTATTGTCATGATATTGTTCTTATTTCAAACAGAGGCTACACTGGCAAGAAGCTGGAGGACAACGTCCAGTGCGAGATCTTTCAGACCATCCTGGAGGAGGCAGTCAGCTCCTACCTACCCAGCATCGTCTTTGAGCTCCAGAGCAACACGCCCAGTGACCTGGAGTCCAACCTTAGCACCATCGAGGAGATGGTCAAACGGTGGAGGTCCAACAAGAGATAAACGAGATGTTGGACGCCGAGAGGGTTTTTTTCCTCTTAAAAGCAATTTTTGCCTCTGAATACCTCAAAGACGTTTATTTTTTTGTGTGGGTTTAGATGCAATATGACTGAAGGGGTTTGTAGCAGAAATTTTCACAGGTTTTTCGTCTTGATTAGGAGTAGGAGACAAAATTGACAACTAGGACACAATTTGACTACCGGCTATGCCAGCCCATTGTGGCCCGCAGTGCTGTTTCAATTCTAGTGTATTCGTGTGTATAAAATATTGAACCGTCTGACAACTCAATACTGCTAATGCATGTATTTTGTTTCTCTGTTGCTCATTTTATGTAGTCACCTCACAGGAGAGGTAACACATGCAGTACAGGTTTGCAAGATCTGCCCCTCTTCGTACGTAACCTCTGTGGTTATGTACGGCTAGACCACCAAAGTTATGCTTAATTTCCTTGTTTTTCCCTAACTATTATCTTTCACAGAGGACATAGGTACAAGTTACATTTTTGGGCCCAATTTCACAGCTCTGCTTTACAAAATTGGTGCTAATCATAGCAGGAAATTCAGTGCAATTGGTTCGCATATTTCACAGGTTAGCAGGGAAATTTGGGTTATGCTCATCCGTAAATCCTGGAACTAGTCTGTGCTTACTTCAGAAGTGTGGAGTTTTTGCACTAGCGTTGCAGGGGTAGAATGCTGATTGTAACTGCAAAAATTCCGTAGTCAGCACAGCCACGAAATTGGGCCCAGGTTCCAATTAACAGGACTTCAAAGCAGAGAATATTGCTGCACAGATTCCATGTTCCTGCTGAGCAAAAATCTGCCGTGAACCCGTCACAGGAAGTTAGGGTGCATTACACTTTGTCTGGTAACCTACTTTTACTTGGCAAATATTTGATTTGCGTAGCAAATTTCTTTTTGAAATTAGCCCACATGCATATGTATCGCGCTGCAAAATTTGCTTCAACGGTTCAACCAACTCATCATGTATCTTTCATTTTGCATAGTTCCTTTGCTTCCAGAGAATTGGCTTCAGGGTGTTACCCATACATTATGTTCCACTGTATTCAGACTTCAGAGAATGTGTTGTTCTTCTGTAAGTTGGTATTTTTGTGAAAATGAGTAACCAGTGAAACCCTTGAAAACTTTAATTTGAAATTGTTTATATATGTATCTCATTATAGGCTGCCCCATGTCCCCTCCCCAAAAAAGATATCATTTTTTTCCCGGAGACCTACCAGTAGTGAATTGAAGCTACAATAATGAAACATTTAACAGTGCTGCTTAAACAATGAAAACATTTTGTATGTGATATGTAATATGTATGTGGTGTAATAATTTGGTAACTCTTGATAGCATGCCATAAAGTTAAACTGTATTGTATTGCATACTTACTTTACTGAAATATCATTAATCAGATTTTAAATACACCTTTCTTTGAACAGGTTTTTTTTTTTCAAAAACATTGGTTTGAAAATGACCAGGGGCAATTGAAATCAGTATCTTTAAGGCCTCCTTTTTCTGGTTCAAGAAATCTCCAGGGGAGTCATAGATTTTTGTGTTTTATTCTTTCAGCAATATTTTCAAAAACTGTACGGCAAACATTTGTTGGTGGCATCATTAGCTGCAGGAAGGGACAGAAGAGCATTAAGGTTTGGTTTCTCCTTAGAAAACATGGAGGAATTGAAAAATCCCCTGCAACCTCCATCCCAAGCCCTGCCTCCGTTGTATGTTGTTTGATGGTGCAACCCATGCAAGGTGGTACTGTACTTGTACATTTGCTTTAAACGAGTTGAACACAGATAAGAATAGTACAAGATCATGGTTATAACAAGGACAGTCTTAGGTCCCAAGTCTTTGTTTTCCATTACTGAAGATACAAAGTAACTATTATAACAAGGTAATTTTCTAATGTCCGAAGTACTTTGTTATAACAGCTTCACTTTAGTCCTCAATCCTCCAACATGATTGGATTGAGGACCGTTAAGGTTAAGCTGTGTAAAAGACAATAGGATTTGAGTGTGCTAAGGAGGGGTCGTTGAGTGTGTGGGGGGGGGATTTTTTTCTTGAGAGGTTTTTCTGTCCACATGTCTGGCTTTTCGTGGGTTAGTTTTAATACCACACCCATTTTGTTCCTGCAACACTCAATCAAAACAGACATTTGAACACGATTCGGTGGCACACCTAACATGTCAAATGCTGACTTCTTTTAATCAAAATATAAGCTCCAGGGCTACTCACCGGTCCTTCAGGAAATCAGAAGTGAAGATTATTTCCTTCACTTTTTCATGCCCCCCTTGGCTAGCATTTGTACTGAATCCCAGCACTGGTGGCATAGGTGGCATAACGATCTTCAAAGGGGGGGGGTTGCAGTTGTGAGAACACTAGGTATTAGCCATTTGGCCGATAGCCCAACCCCATTATAGAACCTGTGAAAAATAGTAGGGGGGGGGATTTTCTCCTCCCTCCCTTGAAAAGTGAGGGGGGGGTCACTGCTCCCCCCTCTTCCTGTAAACCCTAGATGTGCCACACTCTTTTGGTTATGTGATTATGTTCCCAATGACTGTGCAGATGTCTTAGCTTATTACCTTACACTTCGCAGTTCAGGATTTTATTTTAAAGAAGGGTTTCCTATAGATGAAAGAAATGTTCTTCTGAAAAATTCACATCCAGAGCAATTTTTCTTTTCTGCCAGCCCTTTTTAGATTTTGAAATTAAAGTTGCAAATGTTGCACATGAATGGTAGGCTATTTTGTATAGAGTGGTTTCTGTATGAAAGACAGCATGCAATCCTGGCTCTAGTTTCATAGGTCCAGGAAATGAAGAATGTCACTGTAGCCTACAGAATTTGTTGGTCAGCAAAGCATTGAAATTGGGCCCAGTAAATGAAGTTCACTGAAAATCATGCATTTCCTCTTTTTTTGTGAATATAACATGCTGGAAATTTGACAGACCCACTTTTCTGTTCCACGTTATCTGGTGGATGACAAAAACATCATAAATTGTTACTATGGATTGGTGTTACTATTGTAGGTTAATGCAGTAATAAAAGTAGTTGAAGATGCTAATAAGGTGTTTGTCATTTTGAATTTATGCTGGATTTATTGTTATGTTGTGGAAACTCCATTTCACATTTAGTTGGGTCATCTTTTTTAACCAAACCTATCCTGTGAGCTAATTTCATTAGATCTGACTGACGCCATGTCTGAATAGCATCTGGCTACAATCTGTGAAAGCTCCCGTCAGTGTCTTCATGCATTTTTGCCAAGAGTCTGTTCTATCTCCTTCAGCTTATTTTCCATTTCAGCTCTTACAAGGGCGCCTTGCTGTGAAATTTCTTCAGCCTGATTAGCACTGGCGACAACCTTATGTGGCAAATGACCTTTGTTACACTCCAACCTTCTCTGAGGTCAAAGTAAGGGTTTCGCCCTTACATGGTGGATTTTGCCCTCCTTACTTGAACTCTAATCTCAGGCTGGTCCAGAGCTTCGACTTACTTGCCTCTCCCAATTTCTTCTCTAAACTTTGCTGAAACACTTTTATACGTCTTTGAGACTAACCTACAAATATCATTAATAAGCTCTTGTAAGGATTCACCCATAATTAATATAATAAAAAACATACTTTAAAAAACAGAACGGCTGCTACCAAACCCTGTAAAGAAATCCAAGGACCGGGCCAGTACAGGAATGTGGGTTTCAAGGGCATAATAAAAGATAAGATGAACCACTAAAATCAACAACTAAACTGTAAACAACTGGCTGGCTTCACCTGTCGGAAAAGTCTTTTTGGTGGTCTCATTATTTCAAAGAACAAATAATATATTTAAAAAAAATCAACATGGCAATTAGGATCTTAAATTTATTTAATCATAAAGATGGTTGCTCCTTGTTCCAAACAGGATGCATCAAGGCTGCGTGACATGTACATGCACATGTTGACGAATTTTAAGTACATGTACATGCAGATCGATTTTCCCAATTCGGGTGATGCCTTCCCCCGGAAGTGGACCTGGAACAAGAAGCACCAAATTTTTCCTGGCCTTGTAACAGAAACATACACCTCACGAGCAAAGTAATTGATTAACCCAAGTTTTAAAGAAATAAATTCATAAACTTACAAACAGCCTGGTAGACAGGACCATTCCACTTGGATGTTCTCCGGTGTGCCCTGTTAGAAAAAATCCCTACTGAAATTTCCTGAACCCTGGTTTTATATGGGCTGCCAACAAATCCTTTGGAATGAAGTTAACACGTAACATGCAAGACCCTAAAAACCTAAAAAAAAATTCTGCAACAAAAGAACAAAGGACCAATCCGCTTCATTCTCAGACCCTAGCAATGTAAAGAAGAAGAATTCTTAAACAATAGTGAGCCTGGCATCATTTACAGACAAATACCTGATTTCACCACACCTAGTTGGACTGTTCCATTAGATGGAACCAGAAAAATAATAGCACAGCCCAAAATTTAGAACCAGGTCAAATGGTATGGAGATCAATCTATAACAGACCAAAGGCTGATCACAAGAAACCACTGTTCTCTTGAGCCGATGGTGTGCACATGTAGAGATGTAATGTACTGTGAAGTGAGGTTTGGAGCCAGACCTGCCAACCTGTCATACTCCTTCCTGAGGTCTGACAATACCACACAATAGATTAAAAGGTGTCCAAATGGGTGATCAGTTCATTGAAATTCTAATCTATTATGTGGTGATGCCTGACCTCAGGAAGGAGTACGACAGGTTGGCGGGTATGCTATTCATGTACATCAACATTCTGTTAAACTTATGTAAGATATGGAACCCAAACTCCCCCCCCCCAAAAAAAAAAAATTAAAAATAATTTTTGTTACATTACATACAAATAGGCCTCTTTTTGTGCTTTATATAAGTAGAGTATCCAGTGGGCAAGTAGCCCCCTGCTGACATGTTGCCTCTTTTATTTGGGAATTGAAAGAGCCATGCTTTAGATGTAGTATCATCACCTTTCTTGGGGGGATAAATTCTTGTATGGATGAAAACAAGTAGGCAATTCTTTCCGGGAACAAAAGAAATCCCCCACTCTGAATGACAGTAATAAATAATCACAACAAATGTACAAGGTTGCTCTAATATGGTCTTTTGGTCCGGCCGTGCAGAAGAGGCCAAACACCAGCTTTACAACAGGTATGTTGATTGGGAGTTATTCAGCTGGGAGCTATCTTAAGACAGCTCTCAAACTAGCTAGCTTCACCCAAAATAGGTGTTATTTGAACACAACTGAGCTCAGGACCAGCCACAGTCTTTTTGTCTACCATACAGTGAATTCGCACTTTGGGATGGTTTCTAATCATTTTATTATTATCATTTTACTTAACATTCAAAACGGTCTGCTTGCAATGGAAAGTCCGTCCTTGCAGAAACAAACAGTACCGATGATCCTCTGACTGGTCCAACTCCAAGGAGGAAATGAAAGGATCTGCAAGAAGTAATGTCAATCCATTCCCTAGAAACAAAATGTTTCATCCATACATGTATGTTTGTAGCTCACGTAAAGCACAGAGACAGGGTGACAGGCAAGCCTTCCATGGATTCTTAGCTCCACTGCGCTCAAGCACCAGCATTACCATCACAGTATGAATAGGAACACATGTTGGACCGCACTGACACTTTTAGCTCCACAGTTAACTGAATTGGAGCTAGCTGAAAACCAGCCCTCCATCTGAACAGACCCAGAGTGCTGGCAAACACAACTATGCCTGTCAATTCCTGTTTCCCTCTTCTGTGCTATGTCAGGCCCCTATCGGATTTCTTAAAATTCTGCAATATTAATATTACAATACACTCCACATGTGTCTTTACAGCACCACTGTTAAGTTCAAAATTAGAGCACACGAAAACATGACCTACTGATCAAAAACAGACTGTAAATCAATGTAACAATACTATCTGCGTTTTGGAAAATAAATAAGCCTTCAGCAAATGAACACACTCTTCAAGTAGACTTTCAAAAATATACACATTGGTTATTTTGGCATAAAAGAGCGGAACAATGTAACAATACTATCTGCGTTTTGGAAAATAAATAAGCCTTCAGCAAATGAACACACTCTTCAAGTAGACTTTCAAAAATATACACATTGGTTATTTTGGCATAAAAGAGCGGAACACTCCTGAAAATGTACAAAACAAACTGAAAGTGAAAAGCTAATGCACGGAGGAGACCCACACACATGTAAAAACAGAATTAGATCGCATTCATCAGTGAAATCAATTTGCCAGAATAGTTTTCATAATTCTGGCTAATAGTACGTATTTCCCATTTCCAAAGACCACATGCAATGAATTGTTTAAATATTTCCGGTATTATCGTCACCATGCTTTCTGCCTCAAGGGTGATTTGAAAAATGTTTAATTATGACATTTTTCCTGTTATAAAACCTGTTATATATAAAAACCTGTTATATGCATGACTTTGGATACGGGAAAAAATAAAAAATAAGAAAAACAATAACAGAAATGGGGAAAGTGATGAAAAAGAAAGGAGCTAAATTAAAAAAAAATGCCCTGAAATTGAGCCCCTCTACCGTGGTTTTCAGTCTTCAATGCTTCACATCCCCTCCCTTGGAAAGCTGTGCCCTCTTTATGGGCAATGCAAATCACTTGTGTGCAATAGTATCCTTGAAGGATTGTGTAAAATTTACAGCAATAACATGCAGAATCTCAGCTGTATATCCCACTGAAGATTGCTGCTTAAATGGACCAGTTTAACTGAACTAGTACAGTTATGGTTGCTGAGATATCTTCCAGTGAGGCATAACCTGTTGGAAATCTCCACAGAAACAGTCATTCAGCCATGGCATACACAAGATGATTAATTCAAGTATCTTGCAACTACTATTTAGAGTAACACAGGCATGCAATCATTTCTTTGAATTTGCTGATTATTAAGAGAAAAAATTCTGTAGTCTGGCACTTGGGTATGGCTTTAAGTGTGGATGGCAATCAAAAGAAAGTGGATTATGAACAACAGATAGTGTAAAAAACTTTGCCCACTGCAACACATCCACTTTTCCTGGTATGATGCATGAAGTCCTACATCATCAGCTGTACAAACAAGGTTTCCAGTGAATCCTTGCTTAATTTAACTGAAAATGTGATCAGTTGTATCCTTTCCATGCAAATGAATTCAGAATTCCAATCTCCCTCAGCTTCCCTTCGGGCACACGCTTGGAGTCGGGCACCTTCTCGGTTGGCTTGCTGGTCAGCCTCTCGACCATCTTCCTGATGTCGGTACTGGTCATCTTGGGGTTTTGCCGGTTGTACTTGGCATCTCTGGCCTTAGGCACGTAGTACAGCCGGTTGACACTCTGCTCCACCTCGTAGGCGGTCAGTCTCTGGTGGCCCAGTCCCATGTGGTCGGGCTTGGTGATGGTGCCCCAGGGTCGTTTAGACGCTTTTTGGAGAGTTGCCATCTTGCCAGGATTATCTCCCTGGTGCTTTGATGCTGATCACTGAAGGAAAGGATAAAAAACGTGACAGAGAGTTAAGCCTTGGATTACCAAATTCAAGCTGCTGAAAAAGCTACTGAAGATTTTCTCAGCCGCATGTCTTGTTCCATGCAACTTTTCCCACATGAGATTTTTCAAGTCTATTACGTCTTTTAAAAGCCACATCATTACAACCTGGCTGCAAAGCAAACTGTAAGTTTGTTAGCAAGAAACGGAGGACAAACAATGATGAATGAAGGAGTACCATTGGTTTTTAGTTCATCAGAACAGGTTGCGACTCAAACAGTGACTGGATGAATTGCGCTCGATTACTTGTCAGGACATGTGAAGATTTGACTTCAACACTGCATTATCATATGTGCTGCATGTATAGCTGCTGCTATCTGGTTTGACAATTCGCTAAAGAGTTTCCAAAACCTATGTTTCACCGGTGACCATGGACATCGCAGCACTATGGAACACAAAGACATATCATGTATGCAACAAAACAACACTGGGTAAAGTACAGCTGAACCTGTTACCATCACAACTGAGCAAAACAGCACAGTATACAATGTTTCTAACCATGCTTCGGTGCCTGCTGTATCATATTACAGCTAAGGTGCAAGCCAGCCATACAGTTGAAAATGGCAAGTTTAATTGATTTTAGTAATGGTATGCTTTTTCTGATGATGTCTTATCAGATTTCAAACAGAGAGAATGGCAACCACAAGACTGTAAACAACAACATTCCAACAGCTGGTAGACAGACAGTCTGAGGAAAGAATAGACGTACACAACCTCGACGGCTTCTCCCACATACAAACTGCGGAACCAACAAATCAAAGTTTGAAGCATTTAAACATGAATTCTCAACAGTTCATGAGTGTCATGCCGTGACAGTTGTCATGAACTAAGTCAGCCTTGATTCAGAATTGTGCAGATTCTTTCATTTCCCAGTTTCATTAGAATTTTTACTTTAAGCTAATTAGGAGGGTTTCCAGAAACACCGCGTGTCTGATGAACAAATACTGCACGCACACGAATATGTGTATTAAATTTTCAAGTTCGATTTGATAAAACACAATACATGTATGTAACCATAACAATTAAGGCTATTAAATTATAAACCCGACTAAACGAAAATTTCCAGGTTTCAATATTTTTAACCAGGCCTAGGGAAGAGTTTCATATACGGATGCCAGTAATTATTCCCTACAGTGACTTCATAGCCGTCAGAAATCAAAAACATGTCCACAAAAGTTCAATTTAGGAGGGAAAATACAAAGTTGTTTACTGAGAAAACACAATTTGAGAACAGTCTCATAGGGTTTGTGCACAGGATGTAAAGTGGCGTCTGCATATGCGTAGAGCAAGGGTATATGGAACTCTACCTCAAGGACTACCTTGTTTTCCACCCCGAAGTCCTTCTTTAGACACTGCACAGGAATAATTTTCAGTTGATCATGGCCAAATTTTGTGTCCTTCAAGTTATACTATATATGCATAAATGGTGTATTTTGATTCGCAAGGTGTCAGATCATGCAGTAACCGGCTAACCATCTTCAGCGAATGCTGATGAACTGGTGAAGCTGCAATCAGTTCCAGTATAACCACACGGGTGTTTAGGGCACAAGGTTGAGACATCAATCAATTACGGTGCACAGAACACCTGCTACGCGACGCCGCGCACGGTTCGTGGAACGCGTACCCCGTTGCCCAGCAACATTACCGCCAGTTGATGGCGCTATACATTACCCACCAGGTACGTCCGAGCGCTCTTTGCCAGGAACAGGCCTATGTTCTGTGACGTCTATTGTCAATGTACGCACGTGCCACTTTCCAATGGGCCCACGATCCACTGATCACACAAGGCAAGCAATAGAACTTAAACAAAACGTGCCTGCATTACTAGGGGTCTTATTGCTATGCTTATTTTATCGTTGGTAGATTTTGCTGGCAATAAATGATGCCCGTACCTTAAACCCTGAAACAGGCGATAAACCAATGACTCCATCCAGTTCTTGGTTGTGACCGCGGCGCTATACGATCTTTGGTTATGACCGCCCAAACCCATTCCTGAATTGACAGACAGTGCTAGAAATGTAACTGTCAATCGGCAACAGTGATAAATACCCCCACTTTAAAAAGTCGGGGAAATTACTTATATTATAATGCTCCTCCATTTCCAAGACTCTCCTCATATGGAAACGCCAGTGAGGAACTCGCTGAGTTCACTTTAAGGGGAAGGGGAAAAGGAGGGTAGTTGATGGCTTTGGGGCTAAGTTTCCCTGAAGGGATGCACTAATCCCTACTAGCAGTCCATGATCTCCAGTAGGCTTGACCCCCACACTCCATTGCTAAAATGCATGCATGTAGAAGAAGCTCTTTTCACATCACATATTATTTGCGAGTTCTGAGTTGGTCCTAGTGGCGTACGTATCCCAGTGGGATTGAGTGTATATTGTAAATGTGTATGGGCATAAAAGCCATGGGTACCAAAACACTCTTGAATGTGGCTTATCAGTTAAAATGGGGTTTGAATGAGACACAAAGGAGCATTTACGAGTGGATTGTTTTTAAAAGATAAGACTGAGTTACAGAATTGAACACCGTACCTCCACTGGTCAAGGTATAGACAAGTTTTGAGAAGAGTGAATTTCGTGATCAAAATACAATGGGACACTGATTTGAGACGTTTACAAATAACCCTAACCCCCTGCGTGTGTGTAAAATCATACTGAATCGGAGGATTGAGGACTGTTAGAGTTAAAGACCATGCCTCCTCCCCAAAAAGAAAGCCCATATGGCCTCATTAACATGGGCTGTAGATTTACAACTGTGGGACAGTTCTGGACCATCGACACTTCTGGAAAACTTGTTCAATCAAAATGTTAATTTCAGAGTTTGGTTATACCAGCTGGAGTGTCTAATCTCGCAAACGTCAAACGGACAGAAATTGCAATGAGGGGGCAGTTTGACGAAATCAACTGGTCATTGTGTACAGCTATAGTTATTGACGAGAAGCGCGAAAAGGCAAAATTCTGATTTCTCCTTGCAAGAGGTCAACCAGGGACGTAAATTCGGGGGTGAGGTGGAGGACGGGGCTACACATACCCCCATTTGGGGGGGGGGGAGGCTGACATATTGGATCATACCCTCACTTTTTTGTGGTGAGGGGAAAAGGCGGTTTGAAGTGTTTTTTAATTTCCCAACGATAATCAACAGTACTGAAAAGGGGAGAGAGATTACAAAAGCATCAAATACGTCAGGCGGTAAGTTTACATATTAGATGTAACTCTGTATCATGATAACTGCCGCCTAGTGTCACGTGATGCCCAGCACCCACTCAGCTTTTCGAATTTCCAGTCATAACCCCATCCCCCAGTCCCGGGAACAAATTTACGCCAATCAGGTCAACAGGGAGTTTCTGTATTTATTTCTCCATGACCATAGGCCCTATTTCATTTTTCTGTTTAAAGGAAATCATCATATTAAAGTACAAAGTAAAATATCTTGACATTTGAAAACCATATTACTACGGAAGTGTATAAGGGTCACTTGCACTTTTTTTCTAGTTACTACCTCGCCGCGGTGAGAAAGTAACTCAAAACTGTTTTTTGCAAGTGGCCCTTATACGCTTCAATATATTGCTGTATTTGACGAAGAGATTTTTGTTATAGGCAGAAGAAGGGCTGCGCCGAAACAACCTGGACCCATCTTTCCAGGCCATCAAGCATATTATGTGTGACCCCTCACAGCTGACGTCACCACATGCAAGTCAATCGAGGAGGCTCTATACCCGCTGGCGAGAACACTACAAGCTTTCTCTCAAGCATCCTCCTGCCATGCCCTTCCACCTCGATGCACAGGCAAATGCTACAACCCCCGCTACAGAAATCTCCTCAGTCTCTCGTACTCTGACTGAGGCATGCTGTACCATTAGCAAACTCAAGAATAGACGCCCTGCAGGCCCTGACGACATACCTCCAGAACTGCTAAAGTGCGCAGGGGCCAAAACCAGCGCAGCTCTCAATGATCTGCTCCTCCAGATTTGGTCTTCAGGCAGGGTCCCCGCCTACTGGAGGGATGGCATCATCTCCTTTTACAAAGGAAACGGTCCCAAAAACCATTGCAGCGGTTACAAGCCCCATCTCTCTGCTCCCAGTCCCTGGAAAGGTATTTTGCCACATTCTGCCTTTTGCCTGGAGCCTCTACCCACCCAAGACAGTTACCCCGCGCAGGCTTTCTTTACAAAATACCGGTCAACCATGGAAGTAATGTTTGCCTTCCACATTTTGTTGGAGCTACACCGCAAGGCAGCCTTCGAGGCTCGGTAGATTAGAAAGCTTGATGGCAGGCTCTGAAAGCAAGCGCAGTTCCACCATCCCTGCTCCACCTGATCCAGGCCCTGCACGACGGTAGCACCTCCATTGTGCGTATCAGCGACGACTTCTCAAAGCCCTTCCTACTTCCTCTGGCGTCCGTCGGAGCTACATCCTCCGAACAGGCTCTATTCTGCTGTGCCATCGACTGGATCCGAAATTGCTGCTACTCTGACCTTGGAATATCTGTCGTAGACAAGTCCTTCACAGAACTGGTCTGCGCCGATGATGCAGCCCTGTTTCTAGGAAAACTCCACCAGTGGCCCATCCGTCCCCAGAGGTTTGAACAAGAACCTGGAGCGATGTGTAAGCACATGTCCTGGGGCCAAAATGAAAATCCTGAACTGCTCCGGTCTCGGTCCGTCACTGTCCTCACTCAAGGGCTAGCCTGTCAAATCACAGGGTTCGGGTACATCGGTTGTGACATCGACCTTCCGGCTATTCCTCCCCCGACATCCTGAGACGCATAGGTCTCGCCTCATCAATCTTTGGCCAACTGAGGGGGTGGGTGGCGGAACAACCCCTCAGGCTCTTAACCAGGGTCTGTTCTTTTAACGTCGCAGTTGTGTCTTTCCTACAAGTAGCTGCTAATACTATGGCTGGCCGTCGGTATAAAAGTAAAACGATAATTCACTAAGTGTTACAAATCCCTCGCAGCTATCAGAACAACACATAACAATACACACGCTAAATTAAAATACAACTCCAATTAAAATTCAAGGGACAGATGTCCAATTTGCATAAATTTGAGGTAAAATCGAAAACCAAATTATAAAGGTGATAATTTTATTTCGGCAAACTTTGCCCGCCCATACAAGTTGTAGGCAAAATGAGAGTGGTCTATACACGACCCGCATCCTTGCTGTCCTATATACATGTACTGTATGAGTCTGAGACGTGGACGCTCTTAGTTGAGGACTCGTATAGGCGACAAGCCTTCAATATGAGGTGCCAGCGGCACATCCCTTGCACCCGGTGGCTCGACTTTGTCCACAACTCCACAAACATGGAGCCATGTAACCATCTCACGGAGACGCTACTCCCCTTTCGTCCATGTCCGACGACTACCGGAGGACGCACCAACTCATGCAGCCCTTAAGCTCTGCGTCGAGTGCTGGAATTACTGATGTGACAAACCAGACCCATAGAAATTGGTAGCGTAGCAAAGTGAAGGGGGTAGAGTGGAGAATTGACAGCAATGGGATGCTGATATAGGCAGAATCAGCCGGTTGGCGAATGGAGGTGGATAATGGAAGAGTGTGTTGTACCCGGAGCCGTCGAAAGTGATCCATAGGCCTACTTACCGGGTTCAGTTCTGTGCAAAAGCGGGTGTGAATATTCCCTTTAAATCAAGTCTATGAAATGTTGTTTTTACCTTTTAAGAGAAAGAGGAAGAATATTGTCAGAAAGGATGCTATCTAGGGACACAAATCTTTCGAACTTACGCCGTGTAACTGGCATTCGTATGAAAGTGACCCGAAACATAAA